GATGGGAGAATAATAAAAGCTGGTTGAAAAACAGTTATTATTATTCCATGGAAAACTCAGAGATTTCAAAATTTTGTGTAATCCCAAATGAGAATGAACTATCAAAATCTCAAATTTTTATGTGCAGTGATGGATGGGAGAAAAATAAAAGCTGGTTGAAAAACAGTTATTATTATTCCATGGAAAACTCAGAGATTTCAAAATTTTGTGTAATCCCAAATGAGAATGAACTATCAAAATCTCAAATTTTTATGTGCAGTGAAATATTCCAAAATATTTTATTTTGTCTTTACATTGTAATCTTTATACTATCTAACATATAAAATAAAAGTCTACATATTTCGACTTTTACATATTATATCTATTGTATATTTGAGAGAGTTTGTGCATCTGTCTGTCTGTTCATCCATCCATCTGTGAGTCAATTTGTTCAAGAACTCCTCCTAAATGGTAAGAGCTAGAACCACCAAATTTATATGCTGCTTCCTCTAATCATAAATTAAAGCATACTAAGGATTTGGTTGTGCCAAAGCAATGGGATGTGCCTGGAATTTGATTGTTTCTTATAAAATAGAAAGGGGAGGGGAGGGCTGGTAGTAGGGACAGATACACTGAAGAATGACCACAGGAGCCAGAAAAGGGCCAGAGATGGGGACCAGGATAGCTATAATGGCATTGGGCCAGAAGGGGGCAAGAATGGAGAAAGGGACAGCTATCTACTATATATTTCATAGAGTTTGTTTGTGTATCTGTTTGTGTGTCTATCTGTCCCCCAGCTGAGGGACATGCACCCCTCCCCCAGTTGTGCCCGCTTGAGGTACAAGCGGCTTTTCACCTGGCCCCAAGCTGCTGTGGTGAGAGAGGGTGGGTTTGGTCTATACTGAAATCCTCATCCCCAGCCCCAGCCCAGCATAATAATTTAAATGAAGAAAAACAAAATGTATCTGAGTTAAGGACCTGAATAACACCAGGTAAATCTTCAGGTAAATATACAAAAAGGTAAAATGAGAAACTCAAAATGCACTATTTCAACCTTACTAAAATGAAATGTGTAAATAATTTCCCATTGAAATTTTTGACAAAAACCAAACTTTTTGAATTCATCTAATCAGCATTTTCCAATGGAGAACTGTTCCACTAGAAAATATATGACAAGCTCTAGCTTCACTATCAAGCAAATCACAAAAATGCTTATACAAAAAATGTATTAGTCCTTTAAGAAAAGTTGAAAAAGAACTTGGCTCCACCCTTCATGTGCCTCCAGTGACCACACAGACATTCTGCGTGAATAGGATGTCTTAGGCCATGTCGACATGTACAGTGCTACAGTTGCACCGCTAACGCACATCTGGTGAAGGCTCTGTATGCCAATGGGAGAGAGCTCTGTTGTCAACATTTACCCCTCCCACACAGACACCTCTTAAGTGACATAAGCTATGATGGTGGAAGAAGGTCTTCTATTGACACGGCATTGTGCACACTAGCACTTGTGTCAGTGTAACTTATGAAGGGGTGGAATATTCTTGTCAGCATAGGTGGCAGTATAGACATACCATCTGTTTTTTTGAAAGATAGTGTCCACACTGAATGGATGCTATCTCGTATTTAAGCTGTGATTACTATGGATGGAGTGTCCACCAGGGCACCCGTGCTTTTTCCTGGAGGCCTCTTCTTTTAAAAAAACTCCCTCTTCCGCATCCACACACTCCTCTTTCCAGAAGACATGAAAGCCCTTTATCGACCTTCCTCATAGGATGAGGTTTACCTGGAAGGTCGATAAAGGGCTTTCATGTCGACAGGGGAGCGTCCAGACTGCCCCGATCTGCCGACAAACAGCTGATCAGCAGAGCGGGGCAGCCATTTAAATTTAAATGAAGCCGTGATTATTTAAATCGCGGCTTCATTTCCCTCTGCCGATCAGCCTAATCTACATGGCTCCATCGACGGAGCCATGTAGTTTAGACACACCCTAGGGGTTGTGATCCAATGAGATGAGCAGAACCGCCATGACCAAATCACATGGTTGTCATTTTTTATGAATAATGCTTTTGAAAATTAAATTCAATTGGAGCAAAGAGGTGTCTCCTGATGTTTTCCACAAATCATGTGGGACCTTACCTCCTCCTGGAAGAATGTCCCTGTCAAGAAGACACAGTTTGTATCCATGTTTGTTTTCCAAGACCTCCAGAAGGACCTCCAGAGCAAACTGTTCCTCATTAAGACAAGTAGAATCACTTCCAAAGGAGTCTTGTTTTGCATAGGACACAAATGCATCAAATTCTTTGCAATCTAAAAAAGGAAAGTACAATTAAAAATCTGCCAGGCATTTAATCTAGCTAAGTTATTTCTGAAGTACCCTATCACTTTAGATCGTTCTAAATTCTCATTATAGTCACAGCATCTAAATGATTAATTTAACCAAATATACTTGATTAAGAGAAAACAATTGTCAAATCATGTAATGGAGTCAGTCCATTAATTCATGATCAGTCCTGCTTCTTTATTTCCTTGCAGCTTTTATTGACATTCACAGCCAGATGCAAAGAGATGGCAAATCAGACCTTTACTTAAGTTTCAGAAAGCATGCAGAAAACAAGTCACATTTTTTTGCTGTAGTTGAAGCTCTGGCCCTTGCCCACTAAATTACATATTTTAGAGATATTGTCAAATTTACTGCTCTGTGCTGTAGTCAGCTTTTATGTCTCATTTATATCACATAAAAGGGTAAGGCTACTCAAGAAAAGCATGACCATTTCCAGTGCACAAGCTGCTTGTGAAATGCAGTGCATTTTATTGAAAGTAAAAACCCATCTCTTTTACACACCATGTTGTCATAAAAATGCATGCATTATTTAATACAATACTATAAAAATCCAGGTTTGATAAACAGAGATGGGTCACAGTTCAGGTCAGGTCCACTTCCTGGGTTCTTGATCTGTCCCATTAAAGATAGAGTGGAGCTGTGGATTTCAAATTCAGACCCAAATTTGCCCAGGCTTTGATAAAGTTTGGATCTCCATTCTAGTTTGGACTCATCTTTGGCTATTGTGACACACAGATATATTTTTATTTTAAATCAAAATATAAGTATTTCTATTTTAAAAACAAACTTTTGAGGAGTAAAGAGATGAAGCAATTAATGATGAAATATGGACAAGGAAGTAGTGGATGTTGGGGACACCCAGGGGCAGCTGTGAACTGACTGTATTGCCTAGTATTCAGAACAAAAGTACTGGATGGGGCTCAGTTCTGCAAGGTGCTGGTTTCATTAAAGTCTATGGAATGGCTCACATGCTTAAAAATAAACATGCACATAAGTGCATTACTGAATTAAGGCAAGTGTGCTTAGCACCTTGCAGTACTATAAGAAAGGTTATTGTTGCTAATCTGTGCTTATGTTTCTTATGTGATCTAGAACAGGTCATTTGTCCTAAGTGAGGCACAGCCAGTGTCACTAAAACTCTGTATCTGGATGTAAGTTCAGTTTGTGAAACTACATCTAAGTTCATCATGTTCAGAAAAGTATGCATGTAAAAAAATATAAGCATGTAAATTTCATCTCACAGATTTGGAGGGTGAGTTATGGTCCCTTTGTAAACCTTAAATACTAAGAAATACAATAATGGTAAAAATAAAAAACAACAAATAGTCTGGTAGCATTTTAAAGACTAACAAAACATGTAGATAGTAACATGAGCTTTTGTGGGCACAGCCCACTTCTTCAGATGCCCAGAGTGTTGGATGTCCAGAACTAAAATAAATAGGGCAG